TCTTCTGAGAAAAGTTGAGAGTTAGAGGTGAAAGGAAGAAGGAAGTAAAGTAAATAAAAATAATAGGATAAAGGATACGGAGAGGAGATAGGAAGGAAGGATAAGGAGAGGAGATAGGAAGGAAGGATAAGAATGGAGATAGGAAGGAAGGATAAGGATGGAGATAGGAAGGGACGATACGGAGAGGAGATAGGAAGGAAGGATACGGAGAGGAGATAGGAAGGAAGAAATGTAGGAATATCTTATTAAAACAATGGGTTTGCGGTATAAAAAAGTATAGGGAAAATTAAAGGCACGAGCATTTAATTTCAAGTCAGTTAACAATTTTCAAAATCTTACTTGGAAAAATGACCATACCTTCCACAAGGGAACCGTTGTATAAATTCAGAAATGCCACTCTTTTACTTGAGGGTCATTTAAAATAAAATCCACAGTCCCTTTAAAATCACAATAAGAAGGGGGGGGGGGGGCAGTAATCTGTAGAAAGGGAGGAGGTATGGTTGCATAGGGAGGAGGTATGGTTGCATATGGAATGTTATAAAGTATAATTCAAGGAGTTGAAGTAAAATCTAGTTCGACAGTTAGTTCATTACTGTCTGATTAAAATCACAGTTCATTAATTAGGATTATCTTTCTATCTAATATATCTATTTCTCTCTCTATATTTACATATCTCATACTACCTATCTATCTATCTCTTTGTATCTAACAATCTACCCAGCTGCCTTCTATCTATTTATCTATCTTTCTTCATACCAATATTTTTTATTCATCGTATTTTTAAGCGTGTAAAATTCTGTAACATATGGAAAAGTACAGTGATGACCAGAAAACTCAGAAATAGGAAGACGACTTTTATAACTAAGTTATACCTTTTAAAATCCAATGAGCATGGGACACGCCAAATGTGCAGTGTCCACAGACCCGTTTCACAAAATTATTGATTTAAAAAGTGTCTAATAAAACTGTTTGCTTTTTAACAACATTAAATACTTTTAACTAAGTATTTCTATAATGTTGTTTTCCTATTGTACATTGTTTTCAGCTCATCCACTGTATTTGAAATATGCTCAATTCAGAGGTTGTAAAAATAGTAAGTTGGTAAGGTCAACTTCGTAGTTAACCCTTGTTATCATTAGTTGGTGCATCATTTTCATAACTGTGTAGTAAGTTTTTAAATAGGTAAAAACTAATTTTTCAGTCGAATCCGGTCAATTTTCATTAACAACTCGTTCTGCAAGAGTTTTATAAATATACAACAAGGTCCAAATATATCTATTAGAAGAAATTCGAAGGTGAGGGCTGTACTGAAATGTAGAAAATAAAAGTTTAAGTGAAGAAGGTTTAATATTGTGCCCCTGCAGTTTTCTCACGGGATCAAGTAATCTCTCCAATATATATATTTCATGGATAAATTCAAACCAATCTTCGGTTCAGATTCTTTCCACTGGGTATACGGGGTGCAATCACAATAGTTAGGTTCCAGGAATTAAATGATTATAACCTAACCTAACCCAAAATGCAGAGGCATACTAAGTATTAATGTTAATAGGAAGGGGGCGATGAAAATGTTTTTCTATATATTTGACATTATTATACAGAAAATTCTGGTATAGGAAGACGACTTTATGACTATAAATAGTCACAACAATTGCGCAGTGTAAACAGACCTATTTCACTTAATAAATGATTTGATAAGTTACCAATGAAACTATTTGACTAGTAAAACTATTTGCTTTGTAACAACATCAAATAGACTTAATAACTATGCTTTAATTTAGTCTTCTTATTCCACAGTTTTCTTGTTTTCACTGTATGATATATCAGCGAACAAACTCTGCTCTAATTAAGGGAATCAACGATGTTTGTATTTGTTTTTGTATTAAATAATGCAGCAGATGAACTGGACAATATTACTGGATGGAACCACATACTTTCCAACAAACAAGAAGAGATCACAAAACATAACTGTCTAGTTTTTCTGATCTTCAAAACAAGGGAATATTCAGGATAAGATAAATAATGTAGTTTTGCCATATGTCTTAGGTTGCAGATCATGTAGCTTACATCAAACCAAGGGTTTCTTCAATTTTTGTTAACATTTACATGTTTTAAACATATATTCGGTCCTTGGAGAATTTGTTTAAATATAAACAATACAAAAAATCCCAAATGCAATTAAACAAATTTGTTATATTCTTGAGGAGGTAAAAGGTTCCAAAGTCATAATGGTAATACTGGATTAAATGAACTTTAATATCACCATAGTTTCATTTTAAGTAAATATTTCCATTTACTGATAGCGCCGATTGAAGGACTCATATCTTTAACTGGATAATGAGAATGATGGAAAGATAGATGTTACCGCCATACTATTTCTATTGGTTCAGAATAGACACCAAACACATGCCTGAACCCTGATTGGACCAGGCGCTAATGGACTCGGCATACAGGAGTGATATAAACATATCGAGGAGCTATACGAGGTTACAAAGTCGTATCATTAATATCATATCAATTCTTATAGTTTCTATGTAAAAGTAGCTAGCGAACTTATGCAGCTGAGGTAAAGAAGGAAGTTCGCAGAATTAAACATTTTTAAACAATATTTTCCTCAATGTTTGCTCTAGAAAAGTGTAAAGGGTACAGGTGTAAATCAGGTTTAACTATTTAATTTGGAAATCACTTAAATTACGTTAACAGTCCCTTTAAGATCCCCCGACAATGCAAAGCATATCCGGAGAGTTGGAAGATGATAATTTTCTAAACAATACTTAGAGTTCATGACTCCAAACCCACCAGAACATAATAATTAATGGGACGAGTCGCAAAAATATTATTATATTTGTTCTTTTCTAGGTGTTTAGACACGATAATTAAATTTTCCATTCTAGGTCCAATCCCAAAAGGGTTTTTTTTACCCTACGTGATGATTTAAAATTGTTAGTGAACAAATTGGTCAGAATTTTAATAGTTACTCCCTTAGCCTCGAGATTTCCACAACATTGCAGCTTTTCAAACTTATTTTTTCAGGGTTAGTCCCAGAGGCGTATTCAGGAATTTGTCCAGGGGGGGGCTTAAATTTTTTTCTCTTTCCAGGGGGGGTGGGGGCTCAGCACCCGTTGGAGCCTGAAAACCCCCTGAAATCAATAGATTTCACTGGTCCAGGGGGGGCTTAGCCCCCATAGCCCCCCCCCCTGAATACGCCTCTGGTTAGTCCGAAAAGTATAAACAGTTACAAGAGCTCGGAAGCTCATCAAGGTCAATTTCCGTCTAAAGAGTTGGTGAAAAATTTGCATAACTGTTTAATACGTCTACCAATCACAATATTCTTGTTAATATTTATTTTACACACCTAATTAAGTAATACATTTTGAAGACTATCCCATTCAGGTAAAAAAAGGAAGATCGTCTTCAAGGTGCATAGTTGTGAAGCTATGTTTGGCGTACACTATTAGAATTCCAAAACTACTTTGACGCACTTGAATTATTAACAGTGTAGCTTGAACACAGGTAATGTAAAAAATGTGTTAATGGCAAAATATTGGGTGAATAGTTGTTTTTTAATAAATATCTGAGTTTCAAATTTTTAAAACTTATATACTATAATAAAAAGCGTTTCTTAAGATTAAAAAAAAGTTTCAAAACTTTGTGAATTTATCAAATTATAAAATACATTATTGTAAAAATAACCTTTATACATTATACATATATTGCTCAATAAAACAACAATACTGTAAATTTTGATGTAAAAATATCAGATTTATTTAAATATTCTCATTTTCCCTTTTCATCTTTCAGACATTTTCCTCGTTTAATTATTTTCTTGTTTTAATTTTCCAATATTTCAATTTTCGCCGTTTTTCTTTCTTTATTTTATCATCTTTTTCTTTTATCATAATTTTCCTGTTCTCTTTTTAAAACAGTTTTATAACTAACTCTTCCTGGAACCCAGCTTTTCCGAAAATTAACTTTCTCTGTAAAAGTCGTCTTTATCATGATTTAGAATTAATATTCCCTAATCAAACTTTGAGAGAATTTCCTTAGAATGGACTGGTTCATTTGGCGTACCGTCCCGGTTTGCCGGGTATAATCTGGATGTGTACTGTACAGCTCGCTCTAGCTGGTTAAATGTCGGTCCGGACTTATAAACAGTGTCATCTATATATAAATTTGGCTTGTCTGTTTGTTTGTATCCAATAAACGTCAAAACGGCTGAACCGATCGGGCCCAAATTTGTTGTGGAACATCACGTGACCACAGGGAAGGTTTATGAATGATTAAAAAAATGTGTTTTAAAGGTTTTCAATTTTATAAAAAAAATTTAAATTCTTGAAAATCCGCGAATTTTTTTTTCAATTTTTTTTCTTCTTTGTTTTAAAATGTAAACAACAAGAACATGTTCACAATTTAAATAGAAGATGGGCGCGAAGCGCCCTAAAAGCCTAGAAAGAAGGGCGCGAAGCGCCTTGAATTTCTAGTGAGTTATAATCGAACATACAAATAGACAAACACAGCATATATATTATTCAAGATTGTGTCATTTCGATTCATTCCTTTTTTACGGAACCACGTGCAGTCGACGTAGGTTTATTTCTATTTTTATCCATATTTGCATACAATTGTTTATTTTTGTAATAACCTGCAATAAATACATTTATGAATGCTTTGTTTGAGTAATCGTATTATAGGAAAACATTAAAAATTATCCTTTTCCGCCATTTTTTATTTTTCTCCATTTTCTTTTTGAACTTACGAAGGAAATGGTAAATAATGCACGTAAGCTATTTTTCATGTTTCTAACACCTTTTCTATGATTTCAAGTCTTTACAAAAAAGAAATTATAAAATCATTCGTAGTTTGTAGTAATAAAAAAATGATTTTTTTTTTGCTCTGCTGATGTGGGTGTCATGATTATTATTATATTGCACTATTAAGCTTGTTATCAAAACAAATAAATAAAGAAAATCAAACACTATAAATACGGGAAATATGTTCACTTTTATCATTCATATAAAACCTCGCAATCATACAAGGTAAGTATTTATAACTCTTAACGTAGAACATATTTTAGTGATTTGTTTAGAATTTAAATTATAAAATCATTGCTTTTTATGTACAGTGGTCCGGTAGGCGATTATATTATTACAATGAAAACTACTTCCGATTAAAACTTGGTTTATATCTAGCTGTTAAACAACATGGATACACATAAACATAGAAGTCAAGAGAAGCTGTCAATTAAAAAACTTCTCTTTGATTACTTTAAAACTTCTAATTTGAAAAAAGCTTGTTAACAATCAAGACACTTAAAACTTAAATAAAAAGTCGTCTTCATTGTCTTGATATAATCGCCTATCACTGAGATTTTAACTGACGCTTTTCAGGTCACCATTTTTCATCGTACTCTGCACTATATAAAAGTTTTCGCGAATTTTCTATTTAAATGGTGGATTGCAAAAAATGTCGAAATATTTTTTCAAAACAAAACTTTTTAATTTTGACCGTCTATGGAGTCGGATATATAAGTACAGATAAAAATGTAGCATGCACTCGGGAAACCCTTTTGTAAAACATGAATAGATAAAAGTGTACCATGTTTTCGTAAAAACGTCTTTATAGATATATTTTTTGTTTTGTTTTATAGCACACGCACACTGCACAGTATATGCAGGAGAGGCTGTCTTCACTATAGTTTTATATACATATGTAGCTGACATGGTTAAAAACAAGGTTATGGAAAGCAGTATTTTCATAAACAAATAAATATAGAAGGCTCTGTAAACATCCGTGAATCATGATATGAAATATTGAGTGCTAATAAGCTGTATAGAACAAGTTAATAGTACAGAAAGTACAAATCTGGACGTAAATATCGTCTTCGACTTAATTACAGATTTTCTTTGCACCGTGGTTTATACTTTTTAACTTCTAATAAATAGAATCTCATCCCTCGATATCATATTGATTACAAATCTGATTATACTACACCAAGCCAACAAAATGCAAGATTCTTTAGAGAATCAATTAAGTGTGTTCATTAAATGCACATAATGTTAATACATATGTATGCAGTTGGTATACAGAAAAACCGGTTTATGAAGGCATCTTCCCCTGCATTTCAAAAATTTGCTGTTAAATAGAGAGCGAGACCGGAGAGAGGGGGGATTATCTCTCTCTATTCTCTGAAAGGGGGTTCAATTTCGAATTTTGTTTCTTACAGAAATTTGATCTTTTCAAGTGTGAAATTGATGTAAATGATATTCAATAATTTTGATTGAAGTTCAGAAAATTATGTAGAGTTGGGAAAGGGGCCATTTTGAAATAAAAAGTAATCAATTTTCGATATCTACATGTTTATATTGATTTATTTATCAAGTACATGGTTCCTGAAAGTTCTAATTTTTTCATATTTTTGCGTAAGAAAAGTACGCTTATTATTAGACAAAATCCTTTACAATCTGACAGGGTTATCTAAGAAAGATTAGGAGAAGAATACCTCTTTTAAAAGTGGAAAGACAAATTATGTAAGTATTACACTGTGATTTATACTTGCATGCATAAACTTATCTTTTCAGTTTTTGTATTGTTTTTTGATCGGTGAATTGGACAGTGAACATAGTTTTTTTTGCTTGTTATCATTTTGAAACTTTTGATTTTGGTCGTCTTCTTAGTTTATCTTTTTAGTTTATCTTGGCTGAATTATAAAAGTACAATGAATATATGAATTTTTTGGAAGACTCTATTTTTGAGTCTAAACTAAAGAAAACGATATTTTCGAGTCTAAACCAAAGAGAACCATATTTTTGAGTCTAAACTTAAGAAAACGATATTTTTTACTCTAAACTGAAGAAAACGATATTTTTGAGTCTACTAAACTAAAGAGAACGAAATTTTTTAGTCTAAGCTGTAGAAAACAACATTTTTGAGTCTAAACTACAGAAAACGATATTTTTGAGTCTAAACTAAAGAAACCCATATTTTGAGTCTAAACTAAAGAAAACGATATTTTTGAGTCTGAACTGAAGAAAACGATATTTTTGAGTCTGAACTGAAGAAAACGATGACTTTTTTATCAAATATCTAGTTCAGTTCTTTTTCAGCTAAATGTTTTACAGTTTTGTCCCATGACTGGAGATAGACTCAATGCGACCACAATTGAAAATGACTTTAATAATGTACTTTACTAAAGTTTTAAGTACTTTATTAAAATATTGTTTCTTTGAAACTCATAAGAGAGAGGAGGGGGAATCAACCTGGCAATGGCACCTTAAAATAGTCAATGTAAAGAAAATACATATAAAAAAATTAAATGCAACGGCTCATTTCACAGTTTTTTTCAAATAATTTATTTTTCAAAACACAATTCATTTTTCTAAAAAAAAAATAAATTTGTTTGATCAAAGCTAAAATTGTTAAAGACGACATCTTATTAATGTTCCCCCTCCTCGAACCCCTTTTTTACGAGATAAACCTAAATCTAGAAAATAATATTGATATTTTATTGTTTCAGGTCTATATGGAAAACTCAAACAAAAACGTTTTTTTCGTCCTGGCGATTCTGGCAGGTAAATCAAGACAGGGAGAACCAAAAACCTTAAAAAGTTTAGAAAGTTTTAATTTTTCTTGTTAACGGATTCTTTTTGCTTTTAAGAACGGTGAAAATTTATCAACTAAAATATATTTTCTGAAATCATAAATCAAAAATATAGTTTTGATTAAAGGTAATTAAGGTAATTTGGTCAGGCAGTTTTGTGAATTCAAACGCAATGAAAATTATTAAAATAAAACAGAAAACTTAGAAGAAAAAAATTAGAATATCTAAAAACCAATCATTTCTACCAAAATATCTTAAAATCTAAGTTTTTTAAAGAATTTTACGACATGGAACCCAAAAAAGTGGTTTTCCTATATTTAAATTTTAACAAATACAGTGCTTAACAAGAAAGAAAATAACAAGCAAAATAACCTGAGTGTACACTGCACAGGATAGGATAATGTTTTTGGTTCGAGTAAGAGGGGGGGGGGGGGCAGATTATACTTTTTTATATAAAACTCCGGGGACCTTATATTCTCGTTTTAACCTGATATTTTTGATTCCTTATAGACAGTTGTATTTAGGGGTTTATATGATTGGGACGTGTGAGGGAGCTCCCGAGCCCCGTTACAGGTTTGTGAGGTAAAATCCTATTTAACTCCTTCACTTACAAGTAGCCATATTTTAAAAAATTTAAGAATTTGCTGTTTTCTAGCAAGAATTTTAACATTTTTTTTAATGAAATTAAAGAATTTGTACAAGAAGTTTAACAATTTTCAATGAAAATAGCTTCTAGATCTTTATTCGGAAAATCTTTGAACTTTGAAACTGTTCAAAATATCGCATCATTTATAATGCCATGTAAACCTACATTTATATGTCTAGCAATGTCTAGAAATCTAGCGCCAATAAAAAATTAATTCAATCGTATTCTTAAAACTTAAGAAGTATATCTATAGTTTATCCAAAAAATGAGATTATAATTAGGATTTGAAATTCAACAAATACCATTTATGTTAAGCTTAAAGTAATCGTCAAATTGATAAACAATACGTAAGAAAGTCTCTAAACTCACATTCTTTGTGGGTAACCCTGTAATTGAACATTAAAGAGATAATTACACAGGGTCACCATCATAGAATGAGACTTCAGAGACGACTGTACGGAATCTTATACTGTATGTTTCCCTGCAAGTATAAACTTGTTTCTTCCTTTGCCAAATCATTAAGTAAGACTTAAAAAAACTTTTCTCAATGCTGAAAACTTAATGTAAGCTTGAGATCATCATCATCATTTATAAAGATTCAAGTCGTCTTTACAGTCTCATCCTTTATGAATAAACCTGCATTAAATATTTAGACCGAGTGCCGAGGAGAATGATTATGTTTACAAATATATTCCAGACATCAGGAAACTTCTAGAACTCAAGTAATTATTTCGTAATTCTTAAAAATAAAGCTTGATATATTGTATTAATCTAAACCTGTTCAGTCCGACCCCCAGAGTGTTTTTAACAGAGAAACGAGGGATTGATTTTGGACTCGGACGAGGGTACTCAGGTTCTCAGGTACAGTGGTCAGCGATTATGTCCATAAAATGGAGACAACTTTTTATTAATAAAATGCGGTGATCCCTATCAATCATTTTTCAAATTACAAGTTTTTAATAAACAAAGAGAAGTTGTTAATTGCCAACATCTCTTTGTTTACATGTTTATGTGTCTCTGCTGTTTAAAGGATTGGTGGAAAGTTGTAATTTAAATAGAAAGTCGTCTTCATTGTATTGATACGTACGGCGAAGTTTCTACGCTCTGTCTACGTTAAACAGAACGAAGAAAATAATCGGGTGGCATGCAAGTAGGATTAGAATTATGGTCACCTTGTAATTATGATAAACCTAACCTTACTGATTAAGAAAATGAGAAGACAACATTATTGAGTTTTGACAAGGGATGAGTCTTTGCTCTAAACATGCTATGCAATGATACATATAATCATAAAAAATAAACGTTGTAAGTTTAATTGTACGTGCTTGTTTGGGTCCAGAGAAGTTTTTATTCTGTTACTTATTTTAGAATATTAAGAATGTAACAATTCTGATAATCTAAAAAGACAAATCGCGTATTGGTCAATAATTCGAAAATCTTTAAATTTTCAGAGTTACTTATTTTATACTTTTCATTTAAAACGTTTTAAAAAGTATCTTAAAAAGAGGCTAAAGGAATTGAGTCTTTGCCACAAACCCAAATTTTCTAATCCCTATATCTTTGTAAACTGAAGGTGTAAACCTTTGAAACTTTAAACTTAGATTATTTGATCCAACAGAATAAATACTTTGGAATATATAAGGTCTACATACATTGAGTTGCAAAAATATGGGGATTAGAAAATCAGACTTTGTGGCTAGATTTATAAATCCGCGTGATTCTTGATAATAATTTATTTTTAGGCTGCCCGACATATGCTTGGCCTGCAGCAAGCAAGCTTTGCTGGAGGACCAGGAAAAAGATCCGACCCGTACATGAATTTGGATCAGGTTGGGTTTGTAAACATGTTTAAAGATTGATGATAAAGCCACAAATGTATCGTGGGAGGACGATATTTAATTTGCTCATGAGTATATTTTGTTATTTAAAAAAGTAGGTTTCCAAGAAGCCTTAAAATCATCTTATTCAGAGAATTGGGTCGGTGTACACTGAATGTTTATTGGAATATTTCATAAATAACTACATTCGCCTTCCCATTCAACAGTTCATTTATATATGTTGTAGATTTATACAAACATCAAATTGATTAAAATGAACCAAACAACCTGTTGTACCAAAGCAAAACATGTCATGTTGAGTTACACCTTTTAAAAAGAAAGGTTTTCGCCAGAGAAACAATGAACAAAAGTTATATTTCTAATTAAAATATTTGTTCAAGTCAGTGGTCAAAATATTTTACATTTGTATTTATATAAAACTAAAGAACTATAAAAGGGAATAATTAAATAATTCTTTTATTTGCAGGAGATGTATTAAACCCTGCTGGGGAGCTGGTTTAGAACCCGCAGAAATATTTGATTACAATGTTTAGATTGAAACCTTAGAAAATCATGTGATCTGCCGCAACATGTACATACAATAAAATATAGATTTACTAGTTCGTCTTAGTTAATTCTTCCATTGAACAGTCACTGTTACATAAACATTATAATCAATTTTCCGCAAAATAAATGTATTCTCCTCCTTAAACAAAAACTTTTTTCCCTGGCGAATAGAAACGACAATTATTCCACAGTTTTCTGGTGCCTCGTCTCATATAAAGAATAACAAATTTATACATATAAGAATAAAATTTTATTTTAATCTATTTTGGATAAAAATCACAAGAAGAGTCTTCATAGAATCATCTTCACCAGAAATCTGTCTGTTTACCAAGCTCAGCTCCCTTCCCTCCTATTCATCTTCTTCATTAGTAAACTGTCTGTTTACCAAGCTCAGCTCCCTTCCCTCCTATTAATCTTCATCAGTAACCTGTCTGTTTACCAAGTTCAGCTCCCTTCCCGGCCTCCTATTCATCTTCATCAGTAATCTGTCTGTTTACCAAGCTCAGCTCCCTTCCCTCCTATTCATCTTCATCAGTAATCTGTCTGTTTACTAAGCTCAGCCCTCCTATTCATCTTCATCAGTAATCTGTCTGTTTACCAAGCTCAGCTCCCTTCCCTCCTATTCATCTTCATCAGTAATCTGTCTGTTTACTAAGCTCAGCTCCCTTTCCTAATATTCATCTTCATCAGAAATCTGTCTGTTTACCAAGCTCAGCTCCCTTCCCTCCTATTCATCTTCTTCAGTAATCTGTCTGTTTACCAAACTCTGCTCCCTTCCCTCCTATTCATCTTCATCAGTAATCTGTCTGTTTACCAAGCTCAGCTCCCTTTCCTCCTATTCATCTTCATCAGTAATCTGTCAGTTTACCAAACTCAGCTCCCTTCCCTCCTATTCATCTTCATCAGTAATCTGTCTGTTTACCAAACTCTGCTCCCTTCCCTCCAATGACTTCTATTCATCTTCATCAGTAATCTGTCTGTTTACCAAGCTCAGCTCCCTTTCCTCCTATTCATCTTCATCAGTAATCTGTCTGTTTACCAAGCTCAGCTCCATTCCCTCCTATTCATCTTCATCAGTAATCTGTCTGTTTACTAAACTCAGCTCCCTTCCCTCCTATTCATCTTCTTCATTAGTAATCTGTCTGTTAACCAAGCTCAGCTCCCTTCCCTCCTATTCATCTTCATTAGTAATCTGTCTGTTTACCAAGCTCTGCTCCCTTCGCTCCTATTCAACTTCTTCGTCAGTTATCTGTCGTCTGCTGTCTGCCCGCACCATCATAGTTGAAACGGAACCGCATAGGATAGGGCTACGCCGACGCGTCAGTAAGGCTGGTGCAAGGGGTCGGTCTGGTTCGAATTCAAATTGACCCTAGTCCACAGTGATTCAGAACTGCTCAGACCAGACTTTAATCAATTTCAAACAATTTTTATTCTCTAGTTTCCAATTTTTTTTCTCTTGACTCTATATTTAAATTTATCTACGTTTATTGTTTAAGTAGTCATCTATGTTATCTATATGTATATAGTTGTAATCTCTGCTTGTCTGTCTGTCTTTCTGTTTGTCCGATCATAACTCATGAACCCCTGTACCGATTCGACACAAATTTTGATTTGGGAACTGGTGAGACCCACGGGAATGTTCATAGCTTAGTATTGAGATTCAAAGTTGAGTGGGTCGACTTTAAAAACGAAAATTTAGTTCCCGGTAAAATCGTTCAAGTGCGGGTAAACGGCGCAGCGGGAGTAACTTGGAGTAACCTTGTCAGCGATGAGTTCCCAAGCTAGAATAATTATAATTGAGCAGTTGCACTATAAAACCAAGAATTAGGTAAATATTTTAATGATAATTTATTTCATCACGTGTCAGTTGTCACAGCCAAACAAAGGTTAAAAAATGCCGGTGTCATATCAATTGGACTAATGCTCGATTGGACTAATGTTCTTTTTGACTGATGTTAATTTGGACTAACGTTCAAAAGGACTTTAGTCCTTTTGAACAAATATCTATTCAATTGAACTACAGTTAAACCCTAAATGAGCCATACATCGAAAGAACTTATCAAATGTCGTCTTGACAATTTTTCGATGGGTTTTATACAGGGTGTCCCAAAAAACATGGAAATTCAGTGACGAATTCGATATCGTCTTTGTAATGCATTAGCATAGTAATACCTAATTTCAAAAGCCATAATATTATTATGCCTGCTAGAGTTTATTTTATGAAAAGGGTAAAAGCTTGTATAGATGTGTCTATAATGTCTCCGCAAGATGAACAGTGAAGACGGACAAGTTTACTCTGTTTGTATACTGCATTTTTCTTGTTTTACTAAGTACAACCGTATGCAGTCAAAACATAAACAAACAAAATTTGAAAATAGCAGACGAAACTCTTACAGATTACAGCTTTCTCAGTAGGTATCACTAAACTAAATCAAAGAATTAGTTAAAAAGACATATCGAATTCGTCACTGAATTCCCATGTTTTTTGGGACACCCTGTACTATTTTATGTAAATCTCAGTATTTGCGAAAATAAATAAATAGCCATGAATATTCTGGAACAGTTTTAAAGAGCTCCATATAATCATTTAATTTAAAAACTAAATATCTGCAACATTCCATTGTCAGAAAGTGAAGAATACGACATTTGATGAATTCTTTCGATGTAATTCGTATGGCTTATTTTAGGGTTTAACTGTAATTTGTTCAATTTTTAAAAAATTACATCCCAACAAGTTTTATGTAATTTTTACACAAATCACATGGTGTGATATTATTCGAGGGTTAGGTTAGCTGTTACGTTATATTTTGGCCTAGCGCTGTGGTTAGGATAGGCTAGGGGCCGAGTGCCGCGGCAAAGACAGACGAGAGAGCCGGCGCTGCGGCCACAGAATTCTGAAATGATGATGCCCATGTGTTAAAATTAAATATTATTTTTTTGTAAATCCATTTGAAAATAATTAAATTTTATTTTGTTCAAATGGACTAAAAACCGGTTGTGAACAGCTGACTTTAGTTCAATAGTACGTTAGTCCAATCGGCTATTAGTCCAATCAATATAGCATCAAAATGCCGAAACTCGTTCGGAATATATTCTTAAAAATCGTCTTCCATTCTGTATCCAAACATCAGAAAATCGGATTCATATCTTTTCCCAAGCTTTTCCAAATCTTCCCTAAAAAAGATTGATGTTAAATGTATATAACTGCTTATGATTGCGATATTTTTAAGAAATTTTAGAGTTATACAAACCATTTAAAGTTAATTTTAAAAATGTTCCCATGTAATTGTTGAATGTCGCTTTTACCTTGAAATTTGTTTGAAATATTCTGGCAAAGCTCCTAGTTTTCCCTTGTTCTCCCAGGGTAGGAGTAGGGAGGGAGGAAGAGAAACGTCTTGTTTAAAGTACTCCCAGTCTGTAGATAACTCCTCATATCTCAGGATATGGGTGAACTCCAGCTGACACAACCTAAACAGAGGTCGGAACTTTTAAATTTGTAATCCCTTCAGAAAGCAGTTGTTCGTATCTTAACTGGTCAGACGGAATGTACATTTATTCCTTTTGGATATCTCGAACTTTGGCCCCGCTAATCGGAGTGAACGTATAAAATGCCTTTTTTTGCTGAAAAATAGGTGAATTTTTTATTAACATAGGTATGTAAGCAGATACTTTTCTTATAAAACTATAAGATTTTTTTGTAAAATCATGATAAAAAAAATATATTTAGCAAGAAATTCAACTTTAAAAATCTTTAAATTGCCTCTTTTTTTTCTTTAAGACTTGCTTAAGTTTTTGTCTTGGAAGTGACTGTAGTTTGAAAATGAAAAAAAAATAATAAATGTTGAAATTAAGATTTTGAAAAATCAGTGGAAGTGAGGGTAGTTTTTAATTTAAATAAAATTCTTGAATAAATGTTGATAAAAAAGTTTCAACTTGTCGGTGGTAGTGAGGGTAGTGGGGAATTGAAAAATAAATTATTGAATAAATGTTGAAAAAAAAGTTTCAA